GCAACACACGGCCAAAATACCAACGACACGTGATAGCCATTAAGCCAACAACAGGAGGAAACCGGATGGACTGGCTGATAATCTCTTCAATATTGTTTAGGGCTGTTACTAGTGTTAGCACGTCACTAGGTAATCTTTAGCTCACCGTTCGCTATAAATCTCCTGTCTAATCCTAACACTAAGGAGGTATTAGAAGGGTGTACGTTGAAATTGTTACTGAAATGAAAATACTAGACAGAAATTCTTTTTCAACAGTGTTGTAGTAACATTGTCCAATATTCATTATCGTCTATTCCCGTTCGTGCCCAATACACACGAGGCAGATGAAATAGAGTTCATCTGTTTCAAAACATAAGGATAGTGTGGTCAGCACTATGCCCAGCCGCAATTGTTTCCCTAACGTGAGTTAGGAACTCATCAGAGCTGAATGGACTCAGAGACGTCCGAATATCTCGAGCCCGGGATCCGAACTCAGGACTTTCGTGTCAGCAGCCGTAATCTCTACCACCCAGCCACGCCGTCTCCAATGTTCGATATTGCTAACATAAAAATCTAACTCAAACACTAAAATAAGCCAGTAATCTTGACAACAAGCTATTCTGTGCAGGGCTATTTAAAAGGGGAACAGGGCATTACCCCCCCCCCCCCCCGCTCAGTAGGACATTACCCCCCCCCCCGGTCATACCTTAAGGTTCAGCTAGGGTTAGTGCTAGGGTTTGAGTTTGGGCTAGGTCTAGGTCTAGGGATAGGGCTAGGGTTAGGGTTAGGGCTAGAGCTGGGGTTAGTGTTAGGGTTAGGCTTAAATCAATGTCTAGAGTTGATTTGGTTTTGGGTTAAGTTTAGGGTGAGGTGAATTCTAAGGTTTTTCGTATTTGTCTTAATATATAGGTATAGAGTAAAAATATCAGGATTCTATCATGGTGAATGGGTAGGGGGGGTTGTTTCCCATATATATATATATATATATATATATATATATATATATATATATATATATATATATATATATATATATATATATATATATGTATATATATGTATATATATATATATATGTATATATATATATATATATATATATATGTATTTATGGGGGGCATCTTCCGCTTGAGTTTGCCCCGGGCATCTACATAGGTCTGCACGCCACTGCCTGGGCCCCCTCCGCCCCCCCCCCCCCTCTGCACGCCACTGGGACTAACGCTTGACCACTTCGACTCCAGTACCAAACCTGTCATCTTCTTACAGCCATGATTTGAATACAACCCGACCACGCCCACGTCTCTTATACGTCAATTCCACGCTGACCTCAGGCAGGTAACGCTGCATACCGGACCAGAGAACTGTTCCACCTGGGTCATATCATACCGTGGCACCCTGCCCTCCCCAAACTACCCCCCCCCCCCCCCCCCGTCAGGGATCAAAAGATTCTTGACGCAATACCTTGTTGAAAGCAGCCCGTTGAAGCGGGCCTTTCTACTAGTAAGAAAAAAACCTTTCTGCTTGTTAGATGAGACCTTTCTGCTCGTACGAGAAGACCTTTCTGCTCCTAGGAAAAGACCTTTAGTAAGATGAGACATTTCTGCTCGTACGAGAAGACCTTTCTGCTCCTAGGAAAAGAGCTTTCTGCTCCTAGGAAAAGACCTTTCTGCTACTAGGAAAAGACCTTTCTGCTAGTAAGAGGAGCCCTTTCTGCCAATATGAGGAGACTCTTCTGCTCTTATGAGGAGACCTTTCTGCTAGTACGAGGAGACCTTTCTACTAGTATTAGGGACCTTACAGTACGAGGGCATTCTTCTTCCAATATGAAGGACCTTTTATGACGGGATCTGTCAGTTTAGAGACATCTCTACCACTATAAGGGGACCTTTAAGTATGAAGGACCTCTCTGTCATATGAGTGGACCTTTCAGCCAGTACGAGGGGACCTTTCTGTAAATATTCACAGGACCTGCCTGTCAATGACCTAACACAGGTACGACTTGTCACGCCGTTCAAACATTCGACGGTTATTATGGGAGGGTGGGGGTGCGAGGTGGAAAGGGGGGGGGGGGTAAATGTGGCTATGTGTGTTGTAATCTATGGCTCAATGAATAAAAAAAAAGTCTTTTGTTAGAGTCTTAACAACACAGTTGTGGGCCTTGCCAGACTTTGAGACTTGTGTTAACGGAAAACAAAACAAAAGGGAGATAACATTACAAACTTTTTTGTTTCATATCCATGTTTAAGCCTGGTGTCTTAGGTCAACGTCTAGGCTAATGTAGGACATTCCCTATTGACTAGGCTAAACGTGTAGGCTAATGTAGGACGTTTCCTATTGACTAGGCTAAACGTGTAGGCTAATGTAGGACGTTTCCTATTGACTAGGCTAAACGTGTAGGCTAATGTAGGACATTCCCTATTGACTAGGCTCAACGTCTAGGCTAATGTAGGACATTCCCTATTGACTAGACTCAACGTCTAGGCTAATGTAGGACATTCCCTATTGACTAGGCTCAACGTATAGGCTAATGTAGGACATTCCCTATTGACTAGGCTAAACGTGTAGGCTAATGTAGGACATTCCCTATTGACTAGGCTAAACGTGTAGGCTAATGTAGGACATTCCCTATTGACTAGACTCAACGTGTAGGCTAATGTAGGACATTCCCTATTGACTAGACTCAACGTCTAGGCTAATGTAGGACATTCCCTATTGACTAGGCTAAACGTGTAGGCTAATGTAGGACATTCCCTATTGACTAGGCTCAACGTCTAGGCTAATGTAGGACATTCCCTATTGACTAGGCTAAACGTGTAGGCTAATGTAGGACATTTCCTATTGACTCGGCTCAACATGTAGGCTAATGTAGGACATTTCCTATTGACTAGGCTCAACGTGTAGGCTAATGTAGTACATTCCCTATTGACTAGGCTCAACATGTAGGCTAATGTAGGACATTTCCTATTGACTATACCCAATGTCTAGGCTAATGTAGGACATTCCCTATAGACTAGGCTCAACGTGTAGGCTAATGTAGAACGTTCCCTGGGTCTCCCCCATCTGACATCTTATATTAAACTGCCAGAAATTTATGTACACTTCATAAGCTAAAAAAAAAAAAAAAAAAAAAGAAAAAAAAAAAGAAAAAAAAAAAGAAAAAACTAGGCCTACTTTTTTTATTTTTCTATTTAATGTACCAGTATACCAGTATACCAATGAGCAGAAAAAAGTTACCGAAACAAAAAATCAAAGAAACAAAGGCACTGTCTTCTAGAAGAAAAAAAATTACAGACAAAAGATCACAACGGAAAAAAAAAACTTTTCTAAAATAAAAAGTCACAGAAATAAAGTCACAGCCTTTTTTCTTTACTGCCAGCATACAAATAACTGCTAGTATGCTACTGCCCGTATAGCAAGGGTTAGGAACAGGGTTAGGTTTGGGCTAAGAGGAGTGTTTAGATTAACGCTAGGCACAGTAAAGAAAATTCGTTAAGTGGGTTCGGAAAACCAAAAATAAAATAATTTTTGTTTTGTTTTTCGCATGTTGCGTGCGTGACGATGCCACTAAAACAAGTAACGATTGGTGTCTCCATATCCGTTTCTAATTCTCCGTCGTCCCACCTACACTCAGTATAGCCACATTGTCTTCATTAGACGCGTCGGGCTATAAATAGAACAGGCCCTACCTGAGATAATTTATCAACGAATGTCGCAGTGACACCAGGTAATCTACAACGACCAGGATGCGGGGGGGGGGGGGGGGGGGGGAAGAGGGGATGGGAGGGGGAGTCGAATACCAGGAACTGTGTCATAGGATGGACACGCACGTGTACAGACACACGTACACAGCCTGATGCAATCTTTGGGTCTGACATATCTCTGGGAGTGGGGAGCGGGGGTGGAGGAGGGGGGTGGAGGGTCGACAATATATTTCTTACACCTCCTCATGCAAATCCCTCCCCTTCTCTCACAGACACTCCTAGATCTCGGCCTGTCTGTTAATACCAAGGCCCATTACTTATTCATAACCGCTGGAGGCCTATATTCTTAACCTACTTTAGCTGTTTATTTTAATTCGTGTAATAAATTATCTGAAGAGTGATTTTGGAAAATTAAAAGTTTCAAAAAAGTTTGAAAAACTTTAAAACGAGAATAACATAAAAATGTGGACATGGTTATACAGTAGATTCACCAGTTATTCTGTATCAGATACAGATCTAAGTAAAGAAAATAATAATAATTAAAAAAAAAAAAACCCAGTAATTTAAAAAAAAAAGACTGAAGACCATGTGAGAAAGAAATATTTCAGACTGAAAGAATTGTGCTTAAAATAGATTCAGTCACTGTTTACAAACCATGGGGAAAATCCACTCATTGACAAAACGAATTAAACATTTGACCTAGATTTTTACTTAATTAATGGAAACCATATAGAATTATAGATCTAAGCTAAATTGATATTTTAGAACCCTATTCATGTAGTCTTATGGATTTAAAAAAAACCATCGTAATTAATTTATAACTAACAAGAATTAAAGTATTTCGATAATTATTTAAAAAAAAAAAAAACGAAGAAAAAATAAACACTTAAAAATCTTGTCCACCAAAAATTGCCAGTGTTACAAGACAAGTTACATCTAATTAATTACACAGGAAGGGTGGAGGCTATATCCATTCACTTACATGTTTTGGGGGGGGGGGGTATGAAATGCATGTTAACAGGTTTCCACTGACATGAGAGCATTTAAATTTAAATAAATGTTAACTGCGTTGGGAGAGGAGTGGGAGTAGGGTTACCTATTATTACCTTTTGTTGCTAATTATAAAGTAATTTATAACAACAAAATATATCACTTTTAGCAAAGTTACATACATGTTTTATATAGGCCTACACACTAATACATTCCACATGTACACAGTACCGTGTTATTAAAAAATAATAAACTTTAATTCTACGAAACTTTCTAAAAATCAATCACATGAAAGAAGTAAAACATGAATGATATTATTAGGTTACTCACAATGGGAGAATTTTGTCTGCTACAAATTTCAAACAAGTCCAGAAAGTGTAGATTATAACCGAGTAAGTTTATAGATCTTAATCTATGATTGAAAATAAATGATAAGCTGAATACTCCAGTGAAGTTTAAACAAGAATGAGAGTAAAACAGGAGTCGCCCACTGTTTTGAACTATTCGCTTCCGCAAACTTTTCCGATTTTACTAAAAATAGTTGACCCCTGGGTCAACCAATGGGTAGTGTGTTTACAATCGCGTTCTTAATTCGCTTCGTACGTTTCACTCCCCTCTCCCTCACGGCGAATGAGGAATGTCTACGCAAATTTATGTGTAAAATCTAGGTCATGTACATGAATCATTAACCAGAAAAAATGTTTCTATTTATAGACTTGTACTGATTAAACTTTTTGCTCGCATAGTCTGCTGTTTATTCTTAAATATTTCGAAAATATTAATTAATATTATACATTATTTAAAATAAATAAATAAATAAATTATTTTATATCATTTGACGTGATTAAAACCAAGTCATTAGTGATTTAATTCTTGTTTCTTTTTCTTCAATCATAAACATTCAAACTTTAAACAGTTTAGCTTATCAAATATCTTTGAACATTTGGTAAAAAAATATCTTTAAACATTTGGTAAACACATATCTTTGAACATTTGGTAAAAAATATCTTTGAACATTTGGTAAAAATATCTTTAAGCATTTGATAAACATTTGAACATTTGGTAAACAAACGTTTGGTTAATATCTTTCAAATTTTTAGAATATCCTCGCCACATAATTTAGTTCTTCTCGATTATAAAAGGTATGCCTGTATAACCCCACCCCGTCCCCTCCCCTCTCCAACCATCCCATCCGGTTTCACTCTAATTTAAAATCTAACCAGTAGGTAAATTTATATTTAATAATCGACCCAGTGAACAGCACTAAACTTATAAGTACATGTGGCCTACGTGTGCGTTACGTCGCAGTTAACACAGACTGCATCACATATCAAACCTATCACAGTTAACGTAGACTGCCACACATATCAAACCTATCACAGTTAACGTAGACTGCCACACATATCAAACCTATCACAGTTAACGTATACATACTGCCTCACACATCAAACCTATCACAGTTAACGTATACTGCCTCACATATCAAACCTATCACAGTTAACGTATACTGCCTCACATATCAAACCTATCACAGTTAACGTATACTGCCTCACACATCAAACCTATCACAGTTAACGTATACTGCCTCACACATCAAACCTATCACAGTTAACGTATACTGCCTCACACATCAAACCTATCACAGTTAACGTATACTGCCTCACACATCAAACCTATCACAGTTAACGTATACTGCCTCACACATCAAACCTATCACAGTTAACGTATACTGCCTCACACATCAAACCTATCACAGTTAACGTATACTGCCTCACACATCAAACCTATCACAGTTAACGTATACTGCCTCACACATCAAACCTATCACAGTTAACGTATACTGCCTCACACATCAAACCTATCACAGTTAACGTATACTGCCTCACACATCAAACCTATCACAGTTAACGTATACTGCCTCACATATCAAACCTATCACAGTTAACGTATACTGCCTCACACATCAAACCTATCACAGTTAACGTATACTGCCTCACACATCAAACCTATCACAGTTAACGTATACTGCCTCACACATCAAACCTATCACAGTTAACGTATACTGCCTCACACATCAAACCTATCACAGTTAACGTATACTGCCTCACACATCAAACCTATCACAGTTAACGTATACTGCCTCACACATCAAACCTATCACAGTTAACGTATACTGCCTCACACATCAAACCTATCACAGTTAACGTATACTGCCTCACACATCAAACCTATCACAGTTAACGTATACTGCCTCACACATCAAACCTATCACAGTTAACGTATACTGCCTCACACATCAAACCTATCACAGTTAACGTATACTGCCTCACACATCAAACCTATCACAGTTAACGTATACTGCCTCACACATCAAACCTATCACAGTTAACGTATACTGCCTCACACATCAAACCTATCACAGTTAACGTATACTGCCTCACACATCAAACCTATCACAGTTAACGTATACTGCCTCACACATCAAACCTATCACAGTTAACGTATACTGCCTCACACATCAAACCTATCACAGTTAACGTATACTGCCTCACACATCAAACCTATCACAGTTAACGTATACTGCCTCACACATCAAACCTATCACAGTTAACGTATACTGCCTCACACATCAAACCTATCACAGTTAACGTATACTGCCTCACACATCAAACCTATCACAGTTAACGTATACTGCCTCACACATCAAACCTATCACAGTTAACGTAGACTGCCACACAGATCAAACATATATAAAATTTTTTGACTCACCAGCTTACACATGTGCAACACCAACAGTATATCAAACAGTTATGTACATTTATAAGTAGATTTATATATTTTCATGACTTATTTTTGGGGGGGGGGAGAGTAAAATTGAGTGGCTAAAAATATCGTAAGGTTATGTAAAGTTTAGTTGCCAGTATTCTAAAGTATGTTTTTAATAAAATAAAATAAAAAAATTGGGAAGACTTAAGGTTCAAGGGAGGCTATGATGATAATTACTTTTTCTGTAAGTTTTCGTGAGTTGTCTACCTTACACCACCAAACACACCAGAAACAAATACTCGGAAAGAGTTGCTGTAGTGAAATTTTTACAATAAAAAATTTAAAAATTGGGAGGACTTACGGCTCAAGGGAGTCTATGATGTTAATTACGTTTTCTCTAAGTTTTCTTGAGTTGTCTACCCTACATCACCAAACTCGCCAGAAACAAAGGCCGTTGAAAGAGTTGCTGTAGTGGAATCATTTTTACAACAAAAAAAAATGAAAGATAGTTTGTAAAAGATGTGTGAGTGTGTGAGTGTGTGTGTGTGTGAGTGTATGTTTGTGTGTGGGAGTGTGTGCGTAAATACAAATACAAGTTACATTTTCCCATAAAATAAAATCATTAAAAATCATGTAAGCATAAGGAATAAATAAATAATATACTGTTAAACCCAGCATAAACCCTACAGCTACATGTGATATCCAACACTTGTGGTAGTGGGAGGGGAGGGTTAGGTTAGGTTAGCCTGTCGTCCCTCCTGGGACATAAGCCGCTGACAAGAGCGTCTCTGTCCTGGGCTAGTCTCTCCAACTGTCCCCACGTGTATCCAATCTTCTTGGTGTCTTCGTCCAGGTCACATCTCCAGGTCTTTTTTGGTCTGCCGCTCAGTAGAGACTGGAGGGTATTCTTTAATATGGGTCGCCGTAATGTGTATACATGTGCGTTAGGGGGGGGGGATCGCCCCTTCTGATGCCGTGAGTGAAATCAAAACAATTCCAATTTAATATTCCAGTTAATTCCCTATTTACTCAAGTTACAATGTTGTACTCCTAACGCTATCCAACTGCCCACTATAACTTTCTACAACCTCAACTGCCCGCTATAACTTTCTAGTACCTCAACTGCCCGCTATAACTTTGTACTACCTCAACTGCTCGCTATAACTTTGTACTACCTCAACTGCCCGCTATAACTTTGTACTACCTCAACTGCCCGCTATAACTTTGTACTACCTCAACTGCCCGCTATAACTTTGTACTACCTCAACTGCCCGCTATAACTTTGTACAACCTGACCATCCATTCAACCATAACCTCCTATATGTAACTAATAAACAATCCTTGATCTACCGGCTTCCAACACCACATCGTCCTGACTAACCAACTCCTCTATCATTGACCACTGGACCGTCTCATGTGAACGGTCAGTTCGTTCTGTTGGTTCTGCTTGACCAACGTCTAGTTGACTTAAGCCACTCCACCTCTCGTGTGTCATTGACCTATTTCTAATAACGTCTATCTTTGCGTCATCACACCATTTGACATGTGACATTTACCGTTCGATATATGACATGTGACATCTACACAAAATGTACCCCCCTTCACGAATGACATCTACTCGAGGGCATGTGACAATTTATCAGTCGATCTGTGACATCTACCCCACAAAATGTGACATCTACTACACGAATGGTGACATGCACTCATCAACCTGCCCTCCTCTAAGAGACTTTCATCCATCCGACAAGCATGTCCACAAAAGCACACACACACATATGCACACACACACACACACACATTAACCTACTTAAAACTACATATCGGCTAACATATGGAAAGATTTTGGTGGGGGGATGGGGAGTCAACTATATATGACGTAACGTACTAGGAAGTAAAGAGAGAGAACTGCTAGAGACTCTCAATGACATCAGAACCTGTCATGGCTACTGAAGGAAATCGGTCAAAAGTGACTGACAGTACTACGTGGATGACCTCCTTTAACCTACTCTAATCCTCGCCGCCTGGGTTAATTGCTTAATGGTTGCGCGTCTTGTTACTGCTATTTTAAACCGAGGAACTAAGTTAATGCCGCACCGTAAAACAAAAAACAAAAACCCGTCACTTGCCAGATAAATGAACGGTTTTACGGCCACTGTTAAAAACACGATCCATATAAATAAAAAGCCCAACGCCAAGTGGGATTTCAAATTACCGAACCATTATAGAAACAACCGTCACTCCTCATAAAAGTTGTGTCGCTTCTGTCGGTCCAACATAATGTTTTGACGCTTTTGTTGCTCCTACTTACAAGTTTCTCTTTCTTTTGTCAGTTCAACAAGAGCAATTTGTATCTTTCATCGGTTTTATTGCCTTCAGTAGAGCTCATTTGCATAAATTATGCACATTCACTAAGGCATGTATGCAGCGTTAATCTTCTGGACCAGAGACTCGTAAAGATATTCTGCACTAGCCGTTTTTAAAAATCTTCTGCACTACATTTTGTAAAGATCTTCTGCAGTACCTTTTGTAAAGATCTTCTGCAGTACCTTTTGTAAAGATCTTCTGCAGTACCTTTTGTAAAGATCTTCTGCAGTACCTTTTGTAAAGATCTTCTGCAGTACCTTTTGTAAAGATCTTCTGCAGTACCTTTTGTAAAGATCTTCTGCACTACCTTTTGTAAAGATCTTCTGGACTACCTTTTGTAAAGATCTACTGGACTACCTTTAGTAAAGATCTATTGGACTACCTTTTGTAAAGATCTTCTGGACTACCTTTTATAAAGATCGTCACAAGGAGAATTCCCTTAATGATATGCAGTCGATTTTTTTACACCTTTCCATTCAGCTTCGCTTTGCAATTTAAATTACATCACCAAAACCTAAGTCTCAGCTTAATTCAAGTGTAATAGAAACACTCCTTCCTATGTGCATATCTCGCCCTACGTATATCCCACACCATAACCAGGCTTTAAGACTAGCACAGCGAGAGAAGCTAAAGAGATACTTTAATCATACAAGTCCTGTTTGCTTAATGAGTTTTTTTTATTATAATTAACATTTTTTATAGAGTTTTGTTTTATAGTACGGTGTTGATAAACTGATGTTCTTTAGGCAACGCAGGCATCCATTTATGAAAGTTTCTTGTCATTTGTGTTATTCTCTACAATCTAAATAGAACAGATTTCATGTTGGTGTTAAGTCATAATTTCATGCTGGAAGTGGTCTGGCCATATCCCAAAGATAAATATTTTTAAAACAAAAGATTAAAATCTCACTTTTAATCCAATGAAAGTCTCAGATCAACTGGCTATTTTATTCTTTTATTTCTTAATTATAAAATATGTACAATATTATTTTATAGTTTTGTATAAAGTATAAAGACAATCCTTATTTTTAACATGAAGTCATGATGTCACCAAAAGCAATCATAACATGATCAGCCTTGGTTTACTACTCAGGGGAGATAAAAAAAACAAAGGGAGATTAAAAACAAAAACACAAGAAAACTGGCAATAATGTGTACAAGATCATTTTATTATCAAGGCACCAAGTTAAAAAACAAACTAAATCAATCCTCGACTGTAATCAGAAAAACCTGTACAAAAATCATACATTGAAAAATGTAACATCATCAAACGTCATCCTATTAGAGGGCACACAATTTCAAATTTTAAAAATTTAAAAAATGTGCAGACATTAAAAGGGCAAAAAAAAAGTTAAATAAATTGCTTAGACTTTATTGATAAATAATTTAATACAACTACCTTGCTGTTTATGAGATTATTGTGTATTACTTCTTTCTAAGAGCAAATTATATTTTTCCTTTAAAATTAAAATAAATTAATCTTTAACAAGCTATTTTGCAATCCCATATTTTTTAAAGTGGCTATATTTTTGTAAAAAATTTCATATACATTTTGAAAAGCAAAATATATATGTAATTAACAAAATGACTCAAAGACTGTAAATTGCTGAATTCACTTCAAAAATAATTTTGAATAACTTTAAAAAAATAAGATGAATACTTTTTTTCCAGTAATTGTGGTTCACTAATTCATTATTCTTCTATTGATTTTAAAAATGTACAACAAAACTAGATGTGAAAATTTGCTGATTTATTTATTTATTGTACGTGAAGCATCTCACATCAGAATCAATATAATTAGCCTCAATAATTATAATAATATACTAGAATAAACAATATTCTCAATCTAAAAACAGGTATTGTAAGCCATGAAGCATATATAGTAAATGTAAAATTTCCACATTGATTATAAAAATCAATGTGGAACGCTTCTTGATACGAAATTATCTTGAGTAGGTAAGATTATGAGATTGTTTAAATAAATTTTGTATCTATTATCCACTTGATGTAAAAAATATACTTTGTACAGTTTGTTACAATGTATAAAAAGATATACTCTGTAACTAAAATGTAAATTAATTGATGAACCATATCTGGTGGCTTAATGCATTAATGCCTAATACGCACATTATTTGCACTTAACTCTAAAAATCTTTTGATAAATGCAAAAAGTAAGTACTTTAACTTTGAAACAGATCATATAAAAAAAATGAACACATAGACGGCAAAAGTAGTGCTTACAAATTTTAAATGCAAGTGACATTGGCAGTCGCGGGTGGTTGGTCAACCTATAAGAGATTCCGCTTCACTGGTGTTCAACACCTGAGGCATTCATCCATCAGGCTATCAACAACAATTTACCAAAAAATTAATTCATTATACACTGATTGAGCTAGATTAACAAGCTAAAATAACAGTGATTATGTGGCCTGTAATGTGTTTATAACATTACATTAAAAAAAATAATAGAGAATTGATTGTAGTTATTACAATTTTTATGCTAAAATGTGGTGAAAATATAAATATTGCAGCAATATATAACAGCAGCTGATAGTTTTCTATGCATTTTGATTTTGTTTGATAAAATAAAATAGCAAGTTTTGTTTAATAAATAAGAAAAAATAATTTTTTAGTTTAAAAAGAATAGAAAAGTAAATATTGATTTTTTTTTAGTGATCTTAGCTATAAGCCAATGCACTTATTTGTGTTTATGAGAGCTAATGAACTAGACACCAAAGCAAAAAAAAAATATGAAACCTGTTTTTTTTAAGTTACTTTTTTAGGAAGTTTTAAAAATAAAATTGATTCTTAAAATGTGTCTAATTTTTAGCATTAAAATAATGCTAAAGATACAGTTAGTTTTCATTGTGTAAAATAAAAAGGGTTTATCTTGCTTTTTAAAAGCATTCAATAAGCTGTAGAAAATACATATCTTTTTCAATTTTATAAAACTGATACGGCAATAGTTTCTAAAAAATAATAAGCTGGATATTAAAATTAAATAAGTAAAAATGCAAAAAATAAAAGATAGTGGAAACACTGAAAAGAAAAAAGGGAAAAGATTTTTTCTTTAATTGCTGCATAAAAGTACAATAGGCTAGTTTAATAATTTTGTTTTCTTAACTTGATCTTAGCAAACTTTACACATTATATAATCAACAAACTGTTGAAGTGAATTTATTTTGTAACAAGAAAAATAGCATCAAATGAAAATTTATTTACAATCATCACATTCATTGTCCAATGAAATTTTTTTTTTTTTTAATAAACATTACTCATAGAAAACTGGCAAATTTGTACAAATCAAAAAAATAATTTTAAAAAGAAACTTTTGTACCAAATTATTATTAGATTGTGTTTACAATTTTTATTTTTATTCAAAAACAGAAATGTGAAACAAGATGTTTTCCAAACATTTTGAAATTTATGTCGGAAATGTTTTCCAAAAAAATAGTATGTCAGAAAATCATATTAAAGCAGAAAGAAATTTAATATGAGAGAAAACTAAAAATTTTATTGTAAAAAATTATTTATTTAAAACAATGTATAAAAAAACCTCAACAAATGTTTATAAAAGCTTTACCATTTATTTCAGTGATTGGACAATTATCTTTACACTCATTTCATAAAATAAACAGTTAAACAACATTATATTATATGTATCAAAATTTCTAATACTTTAAAAACAATTAGATATACAGTTTTTATACAAATTTTAAAAAGAAACAAATCTTCAGAGATTATAACAGAACTAAACTTAACAAACTTGAATATAATTTTAAGCTTTGCGCCAAAACAAAAACAAGTTGTACTCTGATAGAATAAGGCAATCTACTTGTATTTACTTTAAACCAGTTTGTATAAAAAAAAATTGAAAGTAAATTTATTTAAGGCAGTCAAATGATGTTGAGAAGGCGGCCATAACGAGGCACTTTTAAAGGCAAAACTTTTAACTAATTACCAGAAAATATATAAATTAACAATATTCTAAATTATTAATTTAAATAAAAGCAAGTAGTAAAAAAAATGGCAGCTACTTATAGTAAAATTAATTAAGTAAAACAAACTATTTAGAACATACTAAAAGATCTACAGTAAAAAAATGCAAATGCCAATTGTTAAAGAGTGCAGAAAGATTTCTGCTGAACACAATATTGAGGAGTGGAGGGCAAAATAATTTGTGACAAAAAAACAAAACTACTGTAAAAAGAGAAAGCACATAGCGACTAGTTTATTGCTGATAATACCTCACAGAGCTGTTATGGAGTGAAAAATATACGAGTCGTTTATTAAATGCATTTTATAGACGTTAAAAAATGAACCACATTTGGTGAAAACGTAAGTTTAACAAAATTATTTGAAAAAAATATTCCAATTTAATAAATGCCAAAGCCTGTTTTTACAAATTATTGTAGTAGAAATGTTTATTTTTAACACTTACATAGTAAACAGATTTTTGAGTATCAATTTATAAGAGAATAGAGTGTAAGTTAACTTATTAGTGTAGGACCTATATTGTAATAAACAGTAAACCTAGGAAGTCTGGGTTGTTGTATTTTTGTATTGAAAAACAACCAGTGTGTTACCTAAAAGATGTATATGGCAGGATGACACCAAATACAAGAAATAGACAAGATTTTGATCATGCATATTAACTCTTTAACAACCATGAAACACATGTCCCCATGTAAAAAAAAAACTAACTTTGTGTGAAATATTAAATGAATTAAAGAGATTTTTAAAGTAAAAAAATGCAATCAACACATTTTGGACAACATTTTATGAATATTTCAATGCATTTTTTCACAAAGAAAAAAAAATTCTATTTTACACGTGGACACGGCTTCATGGCCAACACAGGGTTAAAAAAAGCAACAAAAAAAAAAGTCACCCAATACTAATATTTACATAAAACCAAACTCTGAAAGTGGTCTGTCTCCTCACCTAATACAATATATACATGTAGAAAACTCTGCTGAAACATGAGATCACATTAATAACCACCTCATCTTATAAAACTGAATGAACACATCAGAAGTTAATAATCAACACATGTTTGTTCTAAATGTTATCATTTCAAACTGGTTTCAACAATTCTTTTAAAAAATACAGGTAATTTTCTTTAAAAAAAAAACATTGCTTAAATGTAGAAATTTCTTTTTTAAGTACTGAACCATATTAATTAGATAAGTAATATCGTTTAACTAGTTTAACCAAATATACCTACTTTAAATTTAAGTTAATTATTATTCTGAAAGCCATTTAACAAGGAGGCACTTGATATTGAAACAGTGTTGAGGAAAAACAGTGTACAAGTGCTAAAACATTTTCTTCTCTAAGCTCTCTTTGAATTATGTTAAAGATTGTAACACAAACAACATTAGGGTAACGACAAGAATTGACGCCATTTGCTGCGGGACTGACAACAATAGAAATATTTTTTCTTCTCCAGTTGTATCACAAAACAAAAAACAGAATTTTAATCATTTGTTTGCATGTTATGGGACTGTTAAAGATTATCCCAGAAACCGATTCTGGCATTTTTAAAAAAAAAATGTTTTTTTTTTCTTCTCTTTTCAACAAAAGAGTTTAATAGTTATCTCCCTTCCTTGTGTGTTCTGCAGCGTCCAATGCGTGTAGTAAATGTTTTGGTCACAAATCCATTGAGAAAACAAAAGCAAATAAAACAGTCTGATTGCTTTCACATTGTCGTAACCACCATGGTCTGATATCTTTCCAGTTACATCTGAACAATTTTATCAACCAAATTCAATTTCAAGAAAGAAATTGTCGCCTGAAAAGATGTGAACACCCAAGTCACTACTGAAGCAACGTATCACAAATTCTTCACTCATCGTCCTTGTCTTTCTGTGGTTTGATGTCGCACATGTCGAAGAGCTCCTCTGGGGTGTAGCCCAACAAGTTCTGGAGGTCGCAGACAAATCTGTAGACGTACCTTTTGCCTGCGGTCTTGTGGATGATGTTCTTATCATAGTAATACCTGGAGGTGGAAGAAAAACTCAATGTGTAAGAAAAACTCAACGTGTCAGAAAAACTCAACGTGTCAGAAAAACTCAATGTGTCAGAAAAACTCAACGTGTCAGAAAAACTCAACGTGTCGGAAAAACTCAATGTGTCAGAAAAACTCAATGTGTCGGAAAAACTCAATGTGTCGGAAAAAAAACTCAATGTGTCGGAAAAACTCAATGTGTCGGAAAAACTCAATGTGTCGGAAAAACTCAATGTGTCGGAAAAACTCAATGTGTCGGAAAAACTCAATGTGTCGGAAAAACTCAATGTGTCAGAAAAACTCAATGTGTCAGAAAAACTCAAGGTGGCAGAAAAACTCAATGTGTCGGAAAAACTCAATGTGTCGGAAAAACTCAAGGATGAAGAAAAACTCAATGTGTCGGAAAAACTCAATGTGTCGGAAAAACTCAATGTGTCAGAAAAACTCAATGTGTCAGAAAAACTCAACGTGTCAGTTATCATACTAGTATTAGAAAGCAAAGTACAAATATTAATGTCGTTGTAGTATTAAATTAGTGGAAACAAGCACAAGTAATATAATGTACGGATATCATTGTAATATTTAGTTAATTAAATTAATTCAAGATTTAATTTCATCTATGACGTAGTTGTCAATGTAAGGGGAAAGCAATGAAAGTTGGGAACAGCATTTGACATTTTCTCTTTATTTACTAAGATCAAAGAAACAGACCAACTTTCATTTACATCTACCTTATTCATAGATCTGTAGGGTATTTTGAGTAATAGTCTAACAAAGAAAAAGAAAAATAATCGAAGAAAACGTAAAATAAAACTGGGGCTGAAATGATCTAGAGAAGACTGACAAAGCCTCCAACTACTGACCTAAGCCCCCGACTCAGCTTCTCGTAGTTCATCTTGGGCTTGTTCTTGCGGATGCCCCAGCGCCGAGCCACCTCATCAGGGTCCAAAAGTTTAAACTCCCACCCATCCCCTGTCCAGATGATGAAGTGCTGGCAGTTTTTGTCAGTCAGCTGCTCCAGGAGAAACTGCCAAAGCTGGATTGGGCCGCTCCCTGTCAAAAAATAATTATTATAAATCAAGTGAGTTATCTCCCTGGGCTTAATTTCTGTGAGAAAAAGGGGGAGTGAAAAGCTAAGTGTTGAAATATAATATTATCAAGGGAATTTTTTTTTCTTTTCTTCGTGGAAAAGTTGCAGGAGATTTATATTAATTAAAACTGAATGTTTGGATTAGAAATAAAAAAAATATATAAATTTATAATTTAATGCTTTGGTGAGAAAAGTCTAGCACTAATTGTAGGAGAGAAATGAAGGGCAGATAACTGCGGTCTCAATCAATGTGTTTCTCATATTCAGAGCTGGTGAAGTGTATGTGTAAGCAAGCGGGAGTTGTTTCTCTTTGGATACAGGTGCAGTGGAAGCAAGTACATGATGGAGTCAGGGGCTCTCAAACTTATGATTTTGGACTTTTTTTTTTTAAAGAAATTTTTCAATGTTTAGAACATTTAAAAAAAATGTATTTAATAAAAAAATTTCTTTAGAGCTTAAGGGTATTTATGTAACATGCATATGTGAACCACATCATGGAGAGATGCGTGGGAGAAAGCTGGTTCCTCATCAGAAGATCTATCTAAATGTAAACAATATGCCAGCTCTAGTAGGTAAACAAATATTCTCACATCATTTCTAATGAGCAATACTTGTGTTATTTCATGCTGATATCATAGACAGTAGCTAATACTTTTTTTTTGTTTCCAAACAATTTTAATTCTTCTAATCATTAGCCTATAACATTTTAAACTATGTATCGTATTTGAAATCATTCTTGGTACACATGCAGTAACAGGTGTAGATAAAATATACATAAAGTTTTAAATATAAATATGTGTGCATTTGTTTTTATACATGTACATATGTGTATTATATATTATATATACAGTGATACTGTATAGGCCTACGATATATAAATACGAATTAAATTCTTAGATATGCTATTATATTTATAAACCTATAATATAGAGTGATTTTCATTTACTTAAATGTTTTCAAACAGTGATATAAATAAAAGAGGAGGATCATGGTAGGTAGGCAGGAGAGAGAAAACAGTTGCTACATTTTATAAGAAACATAGCAGTTACAGTGTATGTTGCTCATTCAGAAACATAGCAGCTACAGTGTATGTTGCCCATTCAGAAACATAGCAGCTACAGTGTATGTTGCTCATTCATTGAAATAGTTTCTACATTTTACAAGAAACATAGCAGCTACAGTGTATGTTGCCCATTCATTGAAATATAAAAGAAACATAGCAGCTACAGTGTATGTTGCCTATTCATTGAAATATATTAAAAACATAGCGGCAAAGTGTATGTTGCCAATTCATTGAAATATAACAGCTACAGTGTATGTTGCCCATTCAGAAACATAGCAGCTACAGTGTATGTTGCTCATTCATTGAAATAGTTTCTACATTTTATAAGAAACATAGCAGCTACAGTGTATGTTGCCCATTCATTGAAATATAAAAGAAACATAGCAGCTACAGTGTATGTTGCCTATTCATTGAAATATATTAAAAACATAGCGGCAAAGTGTATGTTGCCAATTCATTGAAATATAACAGCTACAGTGTATGTTGCCCATTCCTTGAAATATAACACAAACACAGCTAGTACAGAATCTAAACAAACCAATCCTCATGCTGTAGAGTGAAAGATGGATGCTAAAACAATCACTACAATGCTACAGTGTATGGCCACACATCAGCAGCTACAGTACTAGGGTATTATACCACGAATGAGCATGGTATAAAAGAGCATGGTATTCATGCAGCTAACTCACCAAGTCCCCTGCCATCTGGACCACGAAGAATTGAAAACTCTGAAAATTTGACACAATATTTTTTTTTAACTGACAGAAATCGGTAGGCAGTGGAAAAAACTCTTCAATAACAAATTCCCTATAAGGAATTAGCCTGTTGTATATAGGAATTTATTGGTCAGCAGGATAAAGAGAAACTTTAAAAAATTAGACAACTGTTGTTCATCAAAAAGTAGTTCTTTTTTTAATTTAATTTTTTTAATAACAAAAATTAGCCATACATTTTTTTTCTTTGAAAAATGTTATTTTAGAAATATTTGTTAATTTAAAGTTGTGTTTTTACCATTATAAATACTGCTAAAAAACGTAAATGATATATATGCCATTTTTAAGTTGGAAACAATAATTCCTTTTAAAATCGAAATAGACCATAACATTTAAGATACTACAACGATCCACATAAGTCTGCAAGCTTAATCTTGTATTTATGACCCAACTCAATTCCGATGAAATAAGCTATCGGCTTTATTGCCTAAGAGTCGTGTGTTGAATAAAATTAAGTCAAGTGGCTTTTTTAGCCGCCGTGATCCTAGCGGGCAACATAAAAATCTGGCCAAATTATCGTGTGTAATCACCGGGCAGATCTCAAGTATTGTGGCGCTAAAACTAAAAGCGTTTCCATTTTATCGCTGAAAGGCCGGTCGGCGCGAAAAGAAACGACCTATCACAAAACTTAGAAAAACTGTTGTCACTAATAGCATTCGTTCAGTTTCATGGCCCTATTAAAAGCATTGTAATGCTTGCTTCCAACAATACGACCTTTCATATCATTACGTAGGCCTGCAGGTTTTTGTTTTATTTGCCAGATAAGTCGACATCAGAAAATTGGCATTTAATTTGTCGGAAAAGAAAACAAGAAGTATAAATATAGAAGCCTACATTAGATTTGAAACGGGATATTTCTGCCAATCAAATGTGAAAACCGACTAGTAAAATTAATAATACATTATTAAAAAAAACAAAAACAAATAACAAACGACAAGGCAAATATCCTAAAAATATATCAGATACAATTAACCGTGTTTTATTTACCCATAGAGTAAAGTTTTAACACGACCAGAGCCTATTAAACTGAGCTCAGTAAAATTAATAGGTCGGCTTGATGTCTTAGTTGGGTGACATTTAAGAACCAGAAACATTTGATGTTAAAAGTGTGACATTTAAGTACCAGAAACATCTGATGTTAAAAGTTAACGTGAGGACGATCACGTGAACCAGCAACCCAGTCACACAAGTTGACTTGGGTCACCCCCCCCCCCTTCCCCTGAGTAGATGTCATACATGGATGTCTCGGTACCTGGCGAGGGTAACGAAGTTTACGAGTTTTCTCTCGTAAGTCTTAGCTAGTGACTGACACGTAGTCCAAAAATAGTTCTATAAATCACTTTATTTTTTTTTTATCCGTCCATCTCAAAAAATGAAGTTCCTTGTCTCTGGTGAAATAAATGCTCTCTAACAAGAAAATAAAAACGCTATGGGGAGGGGGGAGGAGGGTGAAAAGTGACGTATCCAACACGTCATAGCTAGCACCTCAACTAACCCTGCATGTTATATATAAGGGATAAGGGAAGTAAAGAGTAGTTAAGACGCAATAATAAAATGTGCTGAAGCGAAACACGGAAGGTACAAAGGACAGAAAATCTGACTTCCGACTTTCGAACTCTTGTCGTCATGGAATACAGCAAGTGTCATGTGACAGCGTGGATAAAAATATCCACCAGGCCAGAATCATGTGACAGAATGGATAAAAATATCCACACGCGTGTGATCTCACCAGCGTGATTGTATGTACAAAGTTTCGCGGAAATTGGTGTGCAAGTTCTAAATCTGCACTTCCAAGTTATCCTTCCGTGTATACCACTGACAAAAGTCTATGAAACTTGCCAATATAATATGCCCATGCTAATACATGCTACAAAGTTTCAGCATTTTTGTATGGCTTTCGTCTAGATGTTCTACCCCACATTTAATTTACTAATGGGATATTCTTCATAGTTAAACCATTTTTAACGCACACAAAATTAAAAATAAATTGTCCACAGAGTTTTTTCCTCGTTCCTCAACAGGTTAGTGATAGAGTGCAGTGTGCACTTTTGTACCGTTAGTGCTACAATGATTGAAGGGGTGGGAGAGATATATTGTATGACCCCCCATTCCTGACAACAATGATGAAGAAGCAGTTTGTACTCTTAACATTTTTTAACACTAAGTTTCCTTAAAATAAAAATACATATCCTTTAAGTGTGCCATCAAGGAAGATGCGAAATAATTTTTTTTGACAAATCATCTTTTAACCATCCTAAGCATTCGCTCATAGCTAGGAAAACAAAGCATTTAAACTTGGCGAACAAGGTTGCTGTCACAGCTCTATGATGATTCACAAAGCCCTCACATTGACTGTTTAAGAGCCCATAAATTATGTATTCTTTTGTAGACAACAAACAAGGACACGAAAACGATTCACAAACTTATTATCATCATAAAAAAGCGAATGTCTGATAGTTTATTTTTACATAGACGGTCTAGAATTTACAAAAAAAAAATTATCCAAGTTAAAAAAAATTGCACTCTTAAAAAAAAAAAAAAACTTGCATTACACCGGTAATTAAATATGCGCATATATTAATTACACGTATTATATAACAATTTACCCCACATTAACAAGCTCTTAAAAGTGGATAAAATAAACATGTATTTTACAGCTCAGACAGGGTTGATGGATAGTGATGGAGGGCTCTGTTATGAATATTTGCACTCCTAAAAAAATTAGAGCCAAAGATTTTTTTTTTTTTTTTTTGGTTTAGCGACAGTTTAAAAGGACGACAACGAAAAAGTTGCGCACGGTGGTGCGAAGCAAGAACCTATTTGTCGTGTCAGGTAATTTTTTTTTAACACTAGGGACAGTATTCTGAGCTAAGACTGGGTAACAATGGTCACACATACATACGGGCTGGGTCTGTGATGAATATTTTTTAAAACTGCACTCAAGGTTAGAAGTGAGAAGAGTTTTAATGTGTGTGGGGCATGGGGGGGGGGGGGGGGGGGGATAAAAAATTCACACTTACAGATAGCGGTTGGGTTCGAGTCGAAGTGTGACGGTTGGGGAACGGTAAGTCAAATTTTTTACCCAGTTTGACGTTATTTGTGAATGACCCCCTTATAAAAAACAACCTGTTAAATTACACTTCATATTTTAAAATAAAGTTTCAGTGCAACAAGGCTGCACAGTTATTTATGTGTTACAGAAATCCTAAAACTTTAAAAAAATAAATGATTCAGTCCTGAAATTTATTTTACAGCAAATATATTTCTTTAAAAAAAAAAAAAGATTGTTTCGTAAGAGTGGGTGACAGTTTTAGAAAACGAACATGGCATGACGTAATAAACATGTCTGCCCCGGGTTAGCCCGTTCCATGTTGAGGGCGAGACCACGTCACAGCCGGCTTACAAAAATTATGTTTGTTTCATTTTTTTTTAAACTCCGTCGATTGGATAGCGCACATCTGACCTTACAACCCCCTCCTCTCTCAAGGAGACAGTGAGACAGTTCTCATTTCAAAATGACCCCGGAAATTTCAAGTCCGACAGCTCACAAGGGTCAAGGCCGGATGGAATTGTTTGAAATAAAATATTTAGAAGTCGTCAGGTTGTGGGGCTAGACTTAGTGCGTAACAACTTTAAAAGTTACCAAAGACAATGTTATGGTCATCTTAATCCTTAGTGGTCATTAGAAGAGTGCCGTAGGTTTGTATAAACTGATAGTTTAAAAATGATTTGTTAAAAAAATCTTATCTTTTATGACCCTCCCCCCCCCCCCCCCCCAAGCTCCCATTCGAAGATGGATCAAAACTAAGGTATGAAAAGTAGGACTACTTGTGTAGCTCGTATCCAGAGTAAAATATTTTTATTTTGCGAGGATCCTAACTCTGGACAAAACTTAACAACATACCTAATCCCTGAGAGAATATTGTGCTACACAATTCGTGTTTATTTTGTAAAGAACACTGCCCTCGCTAAATCAACTGGTGTACTACAAAAGTATGACCGTCGACAATCTAATTAGCATACAGGTTGCTCAGGGCTAAATATAAATATATACCAGGATATCTTATAAAATATTTTAGTAGGCCTAAAATAAAAGTGACTCATGGAAAGATTTGGGAGGACATACTAGAAAATAGCAAGAAACCGTATACAATATTTAAGTGTGACCTTTATTAAAGTACCTTATGGAAGTATTTGGATAGCCATACTAAGAATATAAAAATCATGTCTGACACTGTATAATTAGTATAATACATTTAAAGTATGGCCTATATAAAGTACCTTATGGGAGGATTTACGAGAACATACTAGAAAATACCAAGACACCATATACAATATTTAAGTATGGCCTATAATACAGTAACTTATGGAAGTATTTGGGTAGCCATACTAAGAATATAAAAATCATGTCTGACACTATTTAATACATTTAAAGTATGGCCTATTTTAAAGTACTTTATGGAAGGATTTGGAAGGACTTACTAAGTGCATAAAAAGTTTAGGTTAAAAATACCGAGACACCATATACAATATTTAAGTATGGCCTATATTAAAGTACCTTATGGAAGGATTTGGAAGGCCATACTAAGAATATAAAAATCATGGCTGACACCGTATAATACATTTGAAGAATGGCGTATATTAAAGTACCTTATGGAAGGATTTGGAAGGCCATACTAAGAATATAAAAATCATGGCTGACACCGTATAATACATTTGAAGAATGGCGTATATTAAAGTACTTTATGGAAGGATTTGGAAGGACACACTAAGAATATAAAAATAATGGCTGACACCGTATACTACATTTAACCTATATTAAAGTACTTTATGGAAGGATTTGGAAGGACACACTCAGAATATAAAAACCATGGCTACAGTCTAGTACAAAGACGACAGGTCAGAAGGACCTGGACTGCCGTGCACCCTCCCCTCCCCAAATTATACTTTTCCAGGTAATTTTAATCTCCATATTACAAGAATGTAGATTGGATTACGGTGGATGAGGGGAAGACAGGGGTAGGGCGTGCTGTCTCGTTGTACATGAGGGATGGACAACACGGGGGTCACGTGGCTTAAGGCAGACTGTAACAGGTCAGGGTTGGGGGTCACTTTAGTGGGTCAGGGCTGCTCTACACGGACTGGTTGTGTGATATGTAGGTCAAGGGTGTGTCGGGTTTAAGGGTCAGTGTGTGGGTGACAGAGGGGGCAGTGAATGTGGGTCATTTTATGTGTGTGTGGGGGGGGGGGAAATTTGTATGTGTGAGGGGCCAATTGTATGTGAGGGGACATTCAGATGTATAGGTGCAATTTGTGTGGAGGTGGAAGAGTGTGTGGGTGATAGAGGGGGCAGTGAATATGGGACATTTTATGTGTGTGTGTGGGGGGGGGGGGTAGTTGTATGTGTGAGGGCCAATTGTATGTGAGGGGACATTCAGATGTATGGGTACAATTTGGCCACATGTTTTAGAGACAGTGTGTGTGTAGGAATGGAAAAGTGTGTGGGTCAGGTGAATTGTGGGGGAGTTGTGAGTGGGCGTTGGAGAGATTTTAGGTCAGAATGTGTGTAATGACCTCTCAAAAAAAAAAGCAGACTGGATCAATAGTAACAAAGCACTGCTTGCATACAATCAAAAGCTGTGTTACTCTATCAAGGTATTGGGGTTAAAGATATGCAACACATTTGTTATTCAAGCTTTTCAAAAGTTTAGCAGCCAAAGCATACACAAATAGGTTAGCAAGGATAAATCCATGTATAATGTTAACCATTCATAATGGCTGAATCTTTCTTTGCCACACAGTGCCAAAAAAAAAATTAACAGACATAAAAAAAAACACAAACACACACACGTTTTATACCTGGACATAAAAAGCTAGCGGGGAGGGCGTCTTGACAGGCAGGTGCAAAAAGATATTACGCCCATCAAAAGCGGTGAAGCAGGTATAAACCTATTGTCCTTTGGACACCTACCTGAATAGCCAGCCAGAACTGCGGCTTGGATCATGGGTTTCCCTGTTTCACTGGATGGAGAGCCTTCAGGGGAGTTGGTCCTGTAGCTGTGAATTCCTATCTGATTTCTGTACTCGTGGCCCAAGGCATCGCAATGGTCACCTTGAAAATAAAATAATTTTTTTAAAATAGAATATTGGCTAAGTTGGAATTTTTTAATTTAATTTTACTTGACGATATATATTGGCTATTTGGTGAAGTGAATGTTTTATTAAATAGGCCAACACATATTAGTATCAACTCAATGAAATGAGCTTTAAGAAAATTAGGTATATTGTGTTGTGTGTATTGCATGTGCATTGTGAATGTGTTGTTTATGTGTCTTGTATATTTGCTGTGTATATTGTATGTGCACTGTATGTGTCCTTTACATATATGTTGTCTGAGTGGTGTACTTTGTGTGTCTTGCATGTGTTGTATGTGTTGATGTGAGCGTGCAGTGTGTGTATGACCTACCATTGAAATCATTAGACCAGCTACTCTCTGACTTGATGTGGAGTGGGAATGGTGGGGGTGGGTGTGACTGCTGGTGATGGTTGATGCTGTTTTCAAAGTGTGGTACCCTCGAGTCATCTCTCATGTAGTCACCTACACCAACAAATACAAAAAAAAAAACAACTCAACGAAACAATATCTTAAATCTCAACATTGTAAAAGTTAATTTCTTTTACAAAGCTTAAATTTACAATAACAAGCAAGACAAACAGTTATTTATGTCAGGGAATTAGTATATAGTGGTCAAGTAGAGTAAAGGTATCTGGGCATGGTGCTGACCGCAAGTCACAAAAAAGATAAAAACTACAAAACTGATAAATGCATTAAGTCCAGGGTCTGTGCTGGTACTCTAATGTACTTTCAAATAATACTTGTAAATTAGACTTGAAAATTAAAGGTTAACTAAAATATTGTTTCCTTTTATGCTTCACAGGAAATGAAGTAGTTTATCTGTTTCAGCGACCCTGGCATAAAAAGTGACAGTGGGATTTGTTCTTTGCCAAAACGTGAGTCAGGTACCCATGAGAAGTGGGTAGATAGGGACAAAACCAAGGAGCCAATATTAAAGTTAAAATTGTACCAGAATTATGTGGACAAAACTGAGGAGCCAATATTAAAGTTAAAATTGTACCAGAATTATGTGGACAAAACTGAGGAGCCAATATTAAAGTTAAAATTGTACCAGAATTATGTGGACAAAACTAAGGAGCCAATAGAAATGTTGTACCAGAATTATGTGGACAAAACTAAGGAGCCAATGGAAATGTTGTACCAGAATTATGTGGACAAAACTAAGGAGCCAATGGAAATGTTGTACCAGAATTATGCGGACAAAACTAAGGAGCCTATATAAATGTTAGAACTGTACCAGAATTATGTGGACAAAACTGAGGAGCCAATAGAAAAGTTAAAATTGTACCAGAATTATGAGGACAAAACTAAGGAGCCAATATAAATGTTAAAGTTGTACCAGAATTACGCGGACAAAACTAAGGAGCCAATAGAAATGTTAGAATTGTACCAGAATTATGTGGACAAAACTAAGGAGCCTATATAAATGTTGTACCAGAATTATGCGGGCCACAGGAAGGCTTGAGCTCATCAAGGAAGTGATGCTGCATGTAGTACTGGTTGTTGTTGTTGGGGGTCAGGTCAGACAGGCAGTAGTCCTTGTCCTCGTAGCTCATGTGGTTGGTGCTGGTGGGGGTTCTGTTGCTGCCAGCCACGTTGTTGGGGCTGTTCACGTCTGGGACTGTGTCATGGACGGGTTCTGGGGAGAAGTTCCCTGTGGAAGAGAAAACTTTAACATGAAATATGCTCAATGGATAAGTTATGGGGATATATGTTCTGTAGAATAGAACACATCACACATGAAACATGGCCACATGGATAAGTTATGAGGATATGTTTTCTCTTGAACAGAACACATCACACATGAATCATAGCCATATAGATGGGTTATGGGAAAGATGTTTATAGTAGAATCAAACACTTCACAATGTAACATGGCCATATGGATGGGCTATAGGGCTGGTAAGTAGGTCACCAACCAGTTCTACGGCTCAATAAAACCTGCATGAGCCATATAACTGGTTGGTGACCTACTTACCAGCCCTATAGAGAGATGTTTCTTGTGGAATAGAACATCACACATGAAACATGGCCAAATGGATGGGCTATGAGTAAAAGTTTCTTGTAGAATAGAACACTTCACACATGAAACATGGCCAAATGAATGGGTTATGAGTAAAAGTTTCTTGTAGAATAGAACACTTCACACATGTAACATGGCCACACATAATGTTTAGGTGGGTTTAACTGAGATAAAATTTTAATCCTTGCATGAAACAGTCTGTCATTAAAAACTGGATTGAATCCACTGAGGAATAGAATAATATAATCCTAGCTTAAAACAGTCTGCACAGAATGCTCACACGAAACATATTGTGGTACACAGGAAGTAAAAAGCAACGCCAGGTCATGTGATATACTGTTTGTAAACATCATGAGCTCTTCCTTCTTAGATGTGTTGGCAGATGTGTAGGGGCAAGTCACTGTGTCCTACATGCTAAGTGTCTATGCCACTGTGTCAGGCTCATGTTATACGATTTTAAATTTTCCCACAATTTTTTTTTCAGTACAAGTGTTACACAATTTCAAACTTTGTAAAAGTGTTACACAATTTCAAACTTTGTAAACTGCTTTGAAAATATATTTAATCTTTTTTTTTAAGTTAAGAAGCTTACCCGTATAAAAGTTGATTATATGAATTTATTTTATTTAAGTATTGAGAGAATATCCATACAGAAATAGTGTACGTAGGTAGGTATACAATAACACCTAGGTGAAGAATAATAATTATCACGTCTCCCTTGTTAAAACGTAAAACACAAACTCTTAACTTAAAATTAGAGTCCTTTTCCCCTTGAAACTAAACACCTTTAAAAGCATGATACTGAAGACCACAAGTTACAAGTCCAGACTGACCTTCTAAAAATGATGGACAAACAACACTGTTCCCAGATGTGATGCTCTGGTCTGACGCGTTGGAATAACCTAGGGAGAAAATGTTGGGAAACATGATTCAGGTTGGGTAGTTTGTACAACAGGAGCTGGGAGAGTTTAAAGAAAAATGTGGATGGTGTGAGGAGAATGTGTGGTCAGGTTTTTTGTGGTGTTGTGTGGTGGTTGTATGGGTAGTGAGGCCTGTGTAATGTTAATGTGGACATTGTGCAGACTGTTGATGGTTGGCAGGCTGTATGGATATCATGTGGTCAGTATCAGGCCAGTGTGTGACCATGGGTAAGTAGGGTGAGTTTGTGCAAAAAGTGTGTAGAGTGTTGGTGGTCAGTATAAGGATTTCCTGTAGTCATTATATGGAGAGTGTGGGGTCAGTATCTAACTAGTGTGTGGTCAGTATATGGGAGTGTGTGGTCAGTATCTAGCTAGTGTGTGGTCAGTATCTAGCGAGTGTGTGGTCAGTATCTAGCTAGTGTGTGGTCAGTATCTAACGAGTGTGTGGTCAGTATCTAACGAGTGTGTGGTCAGTATCTAGCTAGTGTGTGGTCAGTATCTAGCGAGTGTGTGGTCAGTATCTAGCTAGTGTGTGGTCAGTATCTAACGAGTCTCTGGTCAGTATACAGCGAGTGTGTGGTCAGTATCTAGTGAGTGTGTGGTCAGTATCTAGCTAGTGTGTGGTCAGTATCTAGCGAGTGTGTGGTCAGTATCTAGCTAGTGTGTGGTCAGTATCTAGCTAGTGTGTGGTCAGTATCTAGCGAGTGTGTGGTCAGTATCTAGCTAGTGTGTGGTCAGTATCTAACGAGTCTCTGGTCAGTATACAGCGAGTGTGTGGTCAGTATCTAGTGAGTGTGTGGTCAGTATCTAGCTAGTGTGTGGTCAGTATCTAGCGAGTGTGTGGTCAGTATCTAGCTAGTGTGTGGTCAGTATCTAGCGAGTGTGTGGTCAGTATCTAACGAGTGTGTGGTCAGTATCTAACGAGTGTTTGGTCAGTATACAGCGAATGTGTGGTCAGTATCTAGCTAGTGTGTGGTCAGTATACAGCAAGTGTGTGGTCAGTATCTAGCTAGTGTGTGGTCAATATCTATCTAGTGTGTGGTCAGTATCTAGCGAGTGTGTGGTCAGTATACAGCCAGTGTGTGGTCAGTATAAAGCCAGTGTGTGATCAGTATCTAGCAAGTGTGTGGTCAGTATACAGCAAGTGTGTGGTCAGTACATGGGAGTGTAGACTTACTTCTCTGGAATCTGTCAGCAAACTCCTGGTCACAGATAGACTCTGACAGATTGGATGGAGCGTTACAAAGCCTTGCTCTTTCCTGGCACATCTCTGAAACACAAGAGAGAGCTCTGTGTCAGCCTAACATGAAAACTATCATGAAAACTATCACGTTAGATTACACTGCTTGTTGAAGGTATTGGATGAAAGTGTGAATGAATCAAAGTATTGAAGGCAATGGCAAGACACATAAAACAGCTTTTTTAGATGTCTAGGGCTTGCTATTGACAACTACTGTAAAAAGTCTTTAAATTCTCTCTGAGTTATGGTTTACAGTAACTTTATTTTCTCTAACCCTAACTTTTTTAAATCCTAATTTTATTCTGACTTTATTCTGCTTTTTAAAATCCATATTATATATTTTAAAATTAACTTCTATTTTACTTAATATTCTAGTCAAGCCTACCTTTCTTCATCATGTCCAGGTGCTCCCAGATTATGTCCCCTACAAAGGGAGGCAACCTCTCCAGGAACTCCTTCTTGGCCATGGAACACAACTCCTGGCCCTCCATGTTGAAGTTGTTCATCTGGATCCCCTCTAGTGAGAAGTCTTGTGAGAACCACTGGAGCCAGAGTAGAACATGAGCTTGGGACCACTGCATCAGGTCTGGTAGGGGTAGAAAAACAGCAGACATTTAACAGGTTGTCAAGCAGGCAGAGGAGTTACTAGTGGGGGTGGGAGTGGGGGGTACAACAACCGACACTCAACATTTATCTTGCAACAAAATTTTTGACGATTGTCATACATGAAAAAGATGAGTGTTAAAATCAAAATTGGAAATGGCTACAAATTGACAATTAACTTTTATCAAGCTCGCTCCACGACTACCAAATATTTTACTCAACATTTCTTTTCATAAACTAATTTACTCAACATTTCTTTTCATATAAAATAGTTTACTCAGTATTTCTTTTCATATATAATCGTTTACTCAACATTTCTTTTCATATAAAATAACGCAGTTTTACAAAAAAGATATATAAATAAATAGGCTTAATGCTAATGAATTAATAGAAATTACATTTTTAAAATACTATTAAACTAATGCCTCAAGATTTACAAACATCAAAGATCTCCCCCCCCCCCCCACCACCAAATGGAACACCTGTTTTTCCCAAGATATTTCCAGCACACCATACCCAGAAACAGATAAGGGAAAAAAAAACTTCAAAGCATTTCAACATCAACGATAAAAACATAGGCAATGACTAAAGTTCATCAAGCATATACATTGAATAAAGGTATTTGATTGGTTCAAAATGCGATAAAGTGTGTCAATGAAGGTATTTGATTGGTTCAAAATGCGATAAAGTGTGATGATAATTTATTTCTTTTCAAAACGCTGGAAGGAGAAGCAATTAAAAAAAAAAACCTTTCACTCATTAAAAACTGTTTTGATTTAGCTCGCCAATGATAAAGTCGACAAAGTTTTTTTTTAATCGGACCAGTAGCGTAGCGAGGGGGGAGGGGGGGGGGGGGGGGGGGGCGGGGACATATGTCCCCGGGCGCCGACCTTAGGGGGTGCCAAAATGGGTTGGAAAAATAAATTGAAAGGTTGTGGGGTGTGCGAATCGAAATCTTGAGGGGGGGGGGGGGTGCAAATCGAAAAGTTTGTCCCCGGGCGCCGGGAAGGGTCGCTACGCCTCTGAATCGGACAGTACTTTATGATTTTTAACATTTTCATTGTTCTTTTTTTTAATATTTTTTTTACCGAATTTCGCCACAGCAGACGGAAGCCATTGAAAACTCATCAAACATCGCGAGAAGTGACGTAAGTAACGCGCGAGAAATTAGTTTCAAACAAACCTGACACAAGATGCTATTTTTCAAACAAATGTATACCCCCCCCCCCCCCCCACCGTACCCCTCATACACACACAACGACTTGCAAACATTTTGATTTGGGCGGGAAAGTTTTGCTTTGTCTCCAGCCAAAAGGGACACTATCAAAAAAGCGTACATCTTAAAACTTTAAAGCTGTAGCAGACGGTAACAAAATTTAAAAAAAAAAAAAAAAAAAAAAATTAAACTAGATCTGTAAATAAAAAAATTTAATTTAATTTTTATTCGGCAACCCACGTTATCTTTGATGCGAAAAAAAAAAAACTATTTTATAATTGAAAACGAATGAAGCAATGAATGATACAAACTAAGCCGGTCATGTGATGTTAACTGAGACCCTGAGAGCGGGACCCGGGCTGGTTAAACACGCCAATGTAGGGGAGGGGGTCGGCAGACGTGAGGGCGCATACGGCAGATGGGGACCAGATTGGTGGCCAGATCAAATTATCTGCAAGATTGTGCACGAGTGGGAAAAGTGTGCATCAATTGGGAAGGTGGTGGATGTGCAGGGGCGGCGACCACGGTGGTGCTGCTGTATATTTTAATGATGGGAAACGATGACAAAGTGAATGATTTGGCCTTTTTTTTTAAAATAAAAAAATGTTTGTTAGACGGCTAGAAGACGGCTAGTTAGATTCGCGTTATACTAACTTACCCAAACAAAGTGAAATATCTGGGGACATTAGACTACAAATCCGAAAAATTGTAAGATTTATAGCTAGTTGTATCGCAATATTTTGATTACAGCTTTTCAGTGACAAATTTCCATTGGCAATATCAGCCAAGCGTGAGTCAACAGTAGTAACAACACAATACCTACAGCATGTTAACGCTAAGTAAGATGGGATAATATTGCTCCTCCTAGTTTAAGCAATAAAACCGGATAAACTGGACAGTCGCCCCCCCCCCCCCAACTCACACCCTGGGTGACGCCCCTGAGTACTGTCAGCACAACAGATACGGCTGTACACTGAAGTCGCATTAGGGGAGCTTGTCTCGCTGCTATCTAGCGTCAGTAAAACAGAATGCTGGGGTCCAGCCTCCGTTCTCTTTACCCTACCCCATCACCCCCCCCCCCCCCCACACACACACACACCTACACACACTGACTTGGTTCTTAGTGTAAAAAAAATGAAGAAAAAAAAATGTGAATGTTGAAACTTGCCATTTACAACTAACTGAGATGTGCTTGAAATATTAGACCAAATATATTTAAAGCCAGTTGTTAAAAGAGATTCTGAGCATAGTTAGTGTTGGTGTTTAAAAAACAACAACAAGAAAAAAAACAACTTTTAAATGTAGTAGTCACTAGTTGCTATGTTGGACGCTAAAAACCTGATTCTTGTTTTACTATTTACCAATCCTAACGACGGTAAGTCACCCCCCCCCTCCTCCCCTACCAGGTTTCCATGTTCCGCCATTAACCACCCGCCATCTTTACTCTCCCCAAGCGACACCTTCGGCACCCTGCACACAGCGGGGTATCGTTTCAAATTGCCCAGCGATTCCTCACCGGAACCTCGCAGCCCCGGCGATCAAACGCGCGACACCATTGGACGCTGCATTATTCGTCCATTATTACAGGCCGCCCCATTGGTTAATTTGCCGGCTTATGGCCGAACACGAAAGTCGGAGGGTAACGAAACACTGGTTAAACACGTTACAACTAGCTTTTTTTTTTTTTCGCCGAGTGTTAATTAAATCAGGACTGATATTCATTAGCATAATTACAGTTTCATCTTGTCGCGTGCTTAACTTAATAACTTTAGTAATTACAGTAGGGTAGTTACCGCTAAAATTACTATATGATCATCAGCGAAGGCTACTTATTTGGCTAGTTACTTTACAGGACAGTTGTAAGCTACAAGACTAATGTATGCAAAACACTTCAAAGAAGAATGTTTTCCATACGAAATACACATACAATGTTTCGGTATTTTGTCCTCATTACTTTAGAATTTTTTAAAGATCTAGAAATTAGATAAGGAAAATAGTGTTTTATTACTGAGAGATACCTTTATAGTGATTTGATGTGGCTTAATTTCAAACCTTTTGATGGTTTCCGAAAATTAGATGTTTAGATGGGTGAGCAGACTGGCTAAAAATCTTTGGATGAGCAGAGTACCGCAACCAATTTTATTCAGCAGAGTGCCTAGGCCTCATAGGGTAAGCAGAGTACCTAGGCCGCTAAGGGTGAGTACTTAGACCGTTATGGGTGAGCAAAACACCTAGGCTGGTAATGACACGTCCATGCACGGCATCCACGACTGCTCACCAGCCGGACTGTTCAAGTGGTCCCGCGATGCTACGGGGGCCAGATGGCCAGGGATGGATGGTGAGTCAAGGTGCGGTTACACCTGCCGTGTGAGAGCCGTTACCTGGCCACACCCTGGAGTTCTAGAGCGGGCTGAGGTTCTGGTCTGTTGTTAGTCAGGGTAGTTGGTAAGTGAGTGGGCCTAAATGATGGGTGAGTGATGGGCGCGGGGGTAAGTAGTGGATGGTTTAGTGAAGGAGTGAGTGAGCATGACGGATGGGGGATGATGGGTGAGTGAATGGGTGATGGGTGAGTGAGTGAATGATGAATGAGTGATGGGTGAGTAAAAAAATAGGCTTAATTTTCTTAATTTAAACATCAATACAATATTATGTTACATTTCGCTCCCATTTTCTTAATAGCTTGAAACACGGTTTAAAGATAACTATTCAACCAAAACACCATTCAACTAAACGTCTACTATTTAAGCACTTGATTAGTTTATTCAGTCTTTCTTTTTAATTAAAAAAATTTAGGTTAAAACAACCCGCTTGGAGCACTCACACTTGCGCACGTTCTGCCATCAAATGCGTTCACGAACGGTGCGCACCGGTGCCATAGCCCCGTTTCTCCTTTAATGCTAACACCATCTTAAAAACCACTTTGAAAAAAAAAAGAAGAGGGGGGTGAAGAAGGAATCAGACAGCTGTGAAATTGGTGGGCCGGGAGAGTTCTCTGAGTGAGGGACGATTCCGATTTGATCGAGTCAAATGTTGCGCGGTCGAGGTCGTGGAGTGAGTACATTGGATGGTCGTGTATGAAGAGTTTTCCACTGTGCGTGTCGTCATGTTTAATATAGCACCGGGAGGGCGGAGAAAAAAAAAAGGGGTTCGTGCGGGGGCGTCCTTCGGTGAACGTTCTTTCAAGGGCTCGTTTTTTTTTCTTTAATGTAGGAAATACGTTTGTATACGAATGGGAGTTTAGGGGGAGGGGGGGAAGAGAGATATAAAAAAAGATGGTAGATCGTTTGTATAATATTTCATAATATTAAGTTTTGAATCTGAATTTCACTAGGTTCCCACACAACCCTGCAGTCTTTATTCTAGTAAGTAAATCTACATTAAAAAAAATTCAAAGCATCTTCGAGACATATTTAGAAAAAAAAAATTGTACAGATGTTTTAGTGATATTTTTTATTTTTAACAGAAGGTCCTCCAATTCACACCGTGGTACCTAACAACAGAGAAGACTACCCCCCCCCCCTCCATCCCTCAATCTTATAATTTATTTTAGCAAACAGCTGCAAGCGGCTCCGGAGCCGCAGGTGTGCGGTGCAAGATTACGTTAGGTGCGGCCCGCTGGACGACGTCAGGTCAGATCCACTGGACCACATAACGCTCGGCATGTTAAACCAGAGGCGTAGCGACCCTTCCCGGCGCCCGGGGACAAACTTTCAATTTGGCACCCCCCTCGGGAGCAACCTATCAATTTTCGATTTGCACCCCCCCCCCAACTTAAAATTTGCACCCATTTTGGCGTCCACTAAGGTCCGCGCCCGGGGACATATGTACCCCCCCTCTGTGTTAAACTGCGCTGTCTACGGTCAAAACAAGAGATCGATTAAAATAAAAGATCGATTGTTGAACAGATCGTATTTAGGTTCCGTTCCCACGCTGGACGTCCCACGACAACACAACCACAGAGACGACGGTCACTACACAGTAAATCTGCTCACTGGAGCTAATCACCCAGCCGGGACAACCGTGGTGAGGTATTTAAGGGGAGATAATAAATTACGTCCCCCTAGTTAGATAGTGGAGCGCGTGGACTTTGGCTGGGACAAACAAGGGGAGACAAATGTCAGGGTGAGTGACGTTAATCAGTTTAAATTATCCCCAATTGGTAGCTTCAGTTCGCGAGGTGCACGCGAGGAGGGGGTGGGGGGAGGGATGAAATGGAAGTCAAAATTAAAAGACTGATATGTACACGTTGTATGCCACAGAGGCGAATCGTGCCCACATATTATAACAGAACACGATACAACTTCATACAAGTTCACTCATAAAATTAAAACACGTCAAATAAACCTCATATCTATTAATTACCACATACGAAAATATAAATTTCATATATGATAACAGTTCATATGCGTTAATAGTTATTACAAGACAATATCAGCCCTATCTTAATTTCCTTATACAATAATATAGTTCGCACATAATATAATTATTATAGTAACAGTGTCGTTTTGTATTCATGTCTATGTACGTAGGCGTAACGGAGGGATAATTTCCAGATTATACATGCTAACTTTTTGGAATGGCACAACATTTAAGATTTACCGACATGGTCTACATTACGCAGCGCCAACATACATTAGATAATAGCCTGGTATTAGCGGTTTAAAAAAAAAACATGTCGGAGAATGCGCATCCCGCTGTTATTAGTGTTGTGTGTTTTATAAAACTGCCTACGCAGCGGAAATTCCCGCAAAACGCGATACCACTAGTTGCTGGAGAATTTGGTATTTTGAAACAGTTGAGTTAGGTCAACAGTCGTCAGTCTCAAACTCTGGTACTCGATTGGGCTATTTGAATTCATTTTTTTTTAAACTAGGTAGCTTGCTGTCTTTATTATTCAAGTTTAAAATTATACTTAAAAACAATGTAATCAAAATTAAATATCTATGTTTATTTTCATTAAGAATGTGTTTAATTAAATTTTACTCTAAAGTTTTAAAAGTTTTTTTGTTTTTTTAATTTGATCGATCTAAATTAAATTATCATGATTGGTACCTTGTGCTAAATATTAGTTCAAGTCAATACTTTGCCTGTTTATTCTCAACACATAGCCTAAGTTATTCAAGAAATATCCCTACACGCATATAAAGCTGCTGACACATTGCAGACCCCAAACTAACATCAGAGATGTCAATATTAACATTTTTAAACAATTTTATTTTTATCTATGTAAAAGAAATTTTTAAAAAATCCGACTAACTTTAATTTTTCAGTTAAATATTGACGATTCTAATAAAAAATAAATTAATTGAAATACTTGAACTTTAAGTTACGGCGTAAAACAGTTGTTTATCATCATACACGTCAATAGATCTGAACATAGCGCACATGTAACGATGACGGACTAACCTTTAGGAATGTTACATTGTCGTAGAACTGTTATCATACACGTCTATAGATCTGACTATATAGCGATCATGTAACTATGAGGGACTAACCTTTAGGAATGTTACATTGTCGTCGGTGCTCCTCGAAGGTTTTTAACTGCTCCACAATCACGTGGGACATCTGCTGCGTCGTGCCGGGGGTGAGGGGCGGTACCCCATTTGTGGTGGACAGTTGTTCTGTGGACAGACAAAAAAAAAATAGTTGGTCAAATAATCGATTGGATAAAACTATAAAACGAGCTCAGAATTCATTTAAATCAATGACTACATCTTAAAAAGATAAAACATTTGTTTATAATAATGCGATGGGGTAAACATTTTTATGGTATGTGTTTCCTACAATTCAAAACGTTAAATGTTGAGTAAACTGCTTCAATATGTGGGAGTGTGGCATCAAGGCCAAATCATGTTATTTATGAAGACAAAAACAAAAACCCATCAAGTAAATTTCTAGCAATGTTAAATGTGAAAATACAAAAGAACCTACTCCTATCTATGAATGATTTAGCTTGTTTAAGCATATGTATGTGTATATATATATATATATATATATATATATATATATATATATATATATATATATATATATATATATATATATATATATATGTATGTATTCATTTATTATGCATGTATGAATGTATGTACGTATGTGTATGTACATTGGCAGCAGCCTTAATGAAGGTGCCATGATATAGTCTGGCCAGACTGCCAGTTAGGCAACCGAGACAATATCAGCGCCTGCCCACACAGCTAGAGTAAACAATCACATCGGCAGCTGATGCAGTTAACAACAATAAACAGCGCCACCACAACAATATCAAGAAAGGTTAAACTCATCTAGCCAGAGTTTTTTCCCCCTGAAAACAGCCTACAATTTTTGCTCGCGAGGAGGGAGGAAGTGACGTTTTAACAATGCAGTGGCAGATTTTGTTTGGTTTATACATAGGGTCAAAGGTCGCGAGGAAGGGATACACCATAAAGACTCAAGTGCTTTATAATTCATACAAACAAAACCGAGTTTCCTAAAGGCGGATGGTTTTTATAACGAAAACAAAAGGAACAAAATGTAATAGACGGAAGTAAAAATTTATAAAGATGACATTTTAAAACACTTTTTTATTAATATCTTGCACTTAATACTCTATAGCCAATGAATATTACGTAACTATTTTCCACGAAGAGGAATACAAAGATTTCACCTTAACTTTGTAAGTAAAACGCGTCCACTTTTTGAACTTGTCGATTGTGAATGGTGAAAAACCACCGGGAAAGATTCAATCTTCCGTGACTTTGAGACAGGGTCATACTTGACACAAGATAACAAAGTCATTCATATATTACTACAACACGACCAGGTCATAACTCGGGGTCACTAGTGATTGCAGTCACCCATACTAAAACATTGCACAGTTCAGAGTCAATGTTATTCTGAAGGTAGGAATCGGAAAGCATTTGGAGGTATTAGAACCCAGGAGACAAGAAAGAATCCGCATAGAGTGTATTAGAACCCAGGATGATTGGGTCAGTAGTCTACGCTTTACCACAGACAGGCCGCGGGAGAATCTTCACGATCGAATTCTCCACCAGCTACCAATACCGGGTTCGAACCCACGACCTCCCAATACCGCTGAGTTGACATAACATTATGTTGTTCCTGTAAGTTGTATTCCTGTGCATGTTTCCGGACCTTGTGCAAGCGCTGACAAGCTTCCGCCATGTTTGTGTGAGGGAACACGAGTTTGCTGACAAGATGGATGGAGCTGACTATGATCGTTCAGGGTCACGTTGTGTGCACAGTTGTGGCTCAGGGCATTTCGGTACAGTCGTGTTACATCCGAAAGGCGGATGAGATTAATCCTAAGAAGAAGAAATGTAGCTCTAACCACTACACTAGATTTAACTAAGTTAAAAAAAAAAAGAGTAGTGCTTTTTTTGTAGCATCCCAATCCTAGACAACATCAATATGAAGTGGTCAACTGACCAAACGTCTTTAGCACTGTCAGCTTCTGCTGCATAAAGGTCAAGGCTGTTAAAAGGTCACTTCTGACATCAACGGCCGAGTCTTGACTGATGTGGAAAACGCGAACCATGTAGAACAAGGAGTTAAACATGTCCAACAAACAGGTTGAAGGGTCTGTGTACAGGGTAACAGGGCAGGGGTTAACGTGGTAACGGATGGACGATTGTTTAGTACATCCACATAGAAGGTACACGGTACCAGGGCAGGGGTTTTTGTGGTCAAGGATGGACTCACATCCACATAGAGGGTACACGGTACCAGGGTGGGGGTTTTGTGGTCAAGGATGGACGATTGTTTGGTACATCCACATAGAGGGTAGACGGTACCAGGGCAGGGGTTTTGTGGTCAAGGATGGACGATTGTTTGGTACATCCACATAGAAGGTACACGGTACCAGGGCAGGGGTTTTGTGGTCAAGGATGGACGATTGTTTGGTACATCCACATAGAGGGTAGACGGTACCAGGGTGGGGGTTTTGTGGTCAAGGATGGACTCACATCCACATAGAGGGTACACGGTACCAGGGTGGGGGTTTTGTGGTCAAGGATGGACGATTGTTTGGTACATCCACATAGAAGGTACACGGTACCAGGGCAGGGGTTTTGTGGTCAAGGATGGACACATCCACATAGAGGGTACACGGTACCAGGGCAGGGGTTAACGTGGTAACGGATGGACGATTGTTTAGTACATCCACATAGAAGGTACACGGTACCAGGGCAGGGGTTTTGTGGTCAAGGATGGACGATTGTTTGGTACATCCACATAGAGGGTAGACGGTACCAGGGCAGGGGTTTTGTGGTCAAGGATGGACACATCCACATAGAGGGTACACGGTACCAGGGCAGGGGTTAACGTGGTAACGGATGGACGATTGTTTAGTACATCCACATAGAAGGTACACGGTACCAGGGCAGGGGTTTTGTGGTCAAGGATGGACGATTGTTTGGTACATCCACATTGTAACAGAACAGGAATAAGTATCTGGAATAAGCAGGAATGGGATCGAGTCTCCGACACAAGTCATGAAAATTTGTTCTTGGAACTTGTCAGATGTCTCAAACATAAATAAGGAAAAAGTATCTGAAACAAGCGAGGAACAAGTCTTTGAAACAATTCAGGAACAAGCAAGCCTAAATAATACCATTCCCGAACAACGATACCAGGACCAAGCTACTCAGTACTTATCTAAATTCCCAGTAACAGACATCAATGATGTGTCAGCGACTCAATGTCCCTCTAAATTCTCAGTAACAGATATCGATGATGTTTCAGAAATAACAAATAATTACCCTTTATTCAACTATTTCATCATGATGTGGACTTCAACATTGAATAATCTAATCCCCACTCACACACTTACTCTATAACATAAAGGACCCTCAACTGTCCCCGCCCCTGCCCACACTTGTACAGCTAACGCCAAGAGTATAGCCTCGTTCTCGGGTCCAACAACTTCTCTAGTGCTAAACTTTATCCACGTAACTCCTTAATCCATCCGGATCCACCACTCCACTCCATCCACTCCAGCCAGACCCGCCACAAGGGGATGACCCAGTAACAGAGCCCGACGGAGCACGGCCCCAATTTGCCGTAATACGTCCGAGTTTTGACGTAGGGTGGTCGTCACGTGGGTTGGTTTTGACATGCGCACTGCTCGAGTGGATTTTTATTATAGACAAACACAAGTGTGGGGTTGAGTTGATTAGAAGGGGGGTGGGGAAAAAATATTCCCCGAGTTAATTTAACCGACAGGGAAGGGGGGAGGAGGGTGATGCTTAAGGGGTGGATAGCAAACAATAACACCCCTAAGGAGGTGTAGTAACGAGAGGAGTGAATGAAAGATTATGCCGAGAGGCATTGTGGGTAATCTGACTATTTGAATTAGTGTCACCTCTTGAAGAGTCAAGGTGTATATAATAGGATACGCAGTCCGCTGTAAACATGTCTATGTGTATGTATGTATGTATGTATGTATGTATGTATGTATGTGTGTGTGTGTGTGTGTGTGTGTGAAGAACTGTGTACGTGCGAGCGAACGCCCGTGTACTGGTGAGCGTACACGTGAATGACGCCTGAACGACCGTGTGTATACTCCGACTGAACATGCGCGCACCTCCAAGGACCAACCTCGCCGCACGAGACCGCGGTGGTAGGCCTGGTTCCCACGATGGGGACGGGAGATAAAGCCCCGAAACTCTACTTCACCTAGGGACACAACCCACGACCACCTGCCCCTAGCCACCAGACAACCCCGATGCTTTAGTCGAGGTTACAGTTCTTTGTTTTTTCCACGCACATACTGCGCTCGTAACTTATTACAACAGCATTTCATTTAGAAATCCATAAGTGTTGGTCAAAATGTAGTCATATAGATGACTTTTTACTTGAGTCTTACGAATGCCTTTCTATACACCATTTGTCGATATGTATTTACATCTGTCCATCCATCATGTATACACATATCTTGCCTTTTTCATTATTGTCTATTTTTTTTCAACCACACGCCAGTATTTTACGTAGGTATATATCTATATATCTGTCTGTATGCATGCATGCATGTATGCATGTATGTATGCATGTATGCATGCATGTATGTATGTATGTTTGTATGTATGTATGTATGTATGTATGTATGTATGTATGTATGTATGTATGTATGTATGTATGTATGTATGTATGTATGTATGTATGTATGTATGTATGTATGTATGTATGTATGTATGTATGTATGTATGTATGTATGTATGTATGAATGTATGTATGTATGTATGTATATCTGTCAATATATGGGTATCTACTTATTTATATCTTTTTGGCTTCTCTGTTTCTTACCCTTATCCTTTGTCACTAAATTCCCCATCTCTCTGCCCCCCCCCCCCCCCCAATACTTAACAACCACCCCCACACAAAGCTCAATGTTCCAGGATCTATTAACGCAAATGCCTAGCATCCGACGGCAAGTGACGGTTATTATAACACGTTATGTGACTTGTCAAAAAAGTTAAGGAGCCTTCGCACCTAACACACAGGCCGGCGAACTCCAGCCACAAGAGGGTTTGTGGCGTGCATCCCATGGCAGATGAAAATATTTCTGGTCGGGAACAATGGCACGGAGCAGACGACAAGTGGTCACACTTTTCGCGCCACTTTG